CATTTTTCTTTTGTGTTTATAGTCATTTACTCAGGGACAAGGGCTGTGATGGCACCTTTGAATGTCAACTGTGGAACTGTCCTGGTTGGTTTTCATTTCATGAACCATGCACAATGATGTTTGGTTGCTTGCTTAGCCTATGCTTCCTTTTTTTCCACACCTATGTTTTTTCTTCGAGTTTCCTGTTGTTTTTTGGCTGACCCGAGTGCTTTTATCCTCGGCTCCTGCTTTTTGCTGTGCTGGTGAGCCTCCCCAATCCTCTCCTCTGTACACTATTCCTTTGCATTCTTTTTAGGTCTGCATAATTATCAACCTTCTTAGAGACGATAAGGTTTTGCAATCTTTTCTTTGACTATATAAGCATAAAGGCAATGCCAAAGAGTTTGATGAGGCTGATACCTTCTGCTGGACTGACTTTGTACTGCTTGAAGAGCTATTTACAGGCATTTTCACTTCAAGATTGTTAGATCAAACTATGGTAATCTCACCAAGGCTAGAAAAACTAGATTGTGATTTTATGTTTACTTCAAGTAGAAAGAAGGGCTAGGAAAGAGTCAACAGCCCTATATCGACATTGAAAGCATACAAGGTGATTCTAAATTATAAAAAATCAGATGAATAAAATCTCTTCATAATTGGGTTTTCTCATTTATATTCTAATAATAGGGTGTTGTTATATGGTTCTCTTTTTTGCAAATGACAAGGAGATTCAAAGTGGTGTTGACCATTTCAAAGAGTCTGCAGTCATTCAAGGTAGCAGGGGAATCTGCAGTGATGGAAATCACCATCCAATTAATGAATGATTATTGACTTAATCTCTATGTGCTTTATGGTGGGATTTTATTGAAGTAATAATTCAGAAGCTTTTTGTTAACTCAGAGTTGTCATGTTCAATAGACAAGCTTTTAAATTGCTCAGGCACTTCAAATGAAGATGGAAGTGCGGTGGAAACTTCATGGATAGATTGCAGGTATGAAGACATTTACAGCTGAGAATTGAAGCTCGAGGGAAACTACTTGCAGTCAGTGTTGAAGAAAGCGCAAGAAACACTGCCTAAACACTTCAAAAACTGGCATCTCTCAGTTAGTTGATGTCCACGTGCTGTTGTATTGGAGTTGACAGACACAGGAGGCTCAAGCTTAAAGGATGCTAGATGTTATCTAATTGATTTTTACTAGAGATTTTCAGGTTTGATTCGCTTAATGGAAGAACTTGCTTGCACTGTCCTGCTTATTATGGCCATTTTGATTACCTTCATGCTACTCTTTCTGCTGCCATCAATCCGACCTGTTACTGTTTCTTGGTAACTATATCTTCATTCTAGAGATTGATTTCGCTTTCTCTTCTCTTCTGTTTTTTATCAGAGTTATCCTTGCATAGACAATGAACTTCGGGTGAGCCATGCAAGCCCCGCAGGTTATAGCGAGCAAACAACGAGGATGCATGCTCCCGCCAGCCTGCAAAATTTAGCACAAAGCAATCGTTGATTAATTTGTAGCAAATAACACAGTCTAAAGCCCTCATCAAACTAAATTATCATATTTAAAAGGGCCAAAATCATGGCCCTTTTTTGTGCACATGATCTGTATAGGAATTCCATGTACAATGCTTGATAGTCATAGGAATATAAAATATACCTTTGCGAGCCATATAGCTTGAGCCAGCCAGCGCGTAGATCCACGGTTTGCCCCTTCTTGCAAATGTTTTCAGCATGCAGCTATTAATTCCTCAACCAATCATTCAGAACTATTATTATGATGATACAGTTTTAGTTATTTTTTAAAATATTTTAATAAGAAAAATTATTTTTAATATATCAAAATGATTTGAAATCACTAAAAAAATTAATTTTTTTTAAAATACTTTTAAAATGTAAAAAAAAAACAAGTTTATAGCAATCCCAAAACTAACATTACTTGAAGAATGCCTGTAACATCCATGTAGTCAAAAAGTTAATTAATTATGATGATATTTAGTTGTTAAAGCAATTTAAAATAATTAATTTTTTGCTTTAATTAATAATAAATTCTTTATCCTTAAAAGTGTATTGCGCATCACTGGTGCAATTAAAATATTTACAATATATTTTTTAAAGATTCTAACAATATCATTTTAATTTGAATGCATTTTTTAAAAAAGTATTTAAATCAAAAAATATAAAACTCAAATATCTCATAACAAGATAAATCAAAGTTCTAGATTTAAAAAAAATAATAAAATTTAAAATTAAAAGAAAATATGAAGTTAAAAAGAGTATGTAAAATATAAAAAATTCAAGTTGAAACTTTTATTTTACCTTTTGCTTTTAATAGTAAATTTTAAAAATTAAAAAGTTGGTAAAGTAAAAAGAATTAATTCCCACCATCATTAATTTTTAATTAGCCATCATAAATCAAGAGTCAAATCTAAAAAAACCAAGAATTCAAAAGTTACATGAGAGTAATTTTTTAAAAAATAAATTTCCAACACCGAAAATAACAACACAGATTTTTTTATTTAATTTTGATTTTTAATTTAGTTTTAACAGGTATCCTCTTTTTTTAATTGATTAGTCTAGCTATTTTTTAAATAGTAATTAATATATTGTATGGTTTTTAAAGTCTCATAATACCTTACTGTAATTTGTTTTAAATTTTTTGCCTATTAAATTATATTTTTATGATAAATTTATAATAATGAAAGTCAACTGTGATAAACTTGCAAGATAAATAAATAATTGTTTTTAAAGTATTGGTTCCGCCTGCTGCAGTGATACCATCATATCCCGCGTCTCACACTCATTTAAAGCAACGACAAAAGTTTGAGCTCTTTCTTTTGATCTGTTCATTGATTCTCGAGCCAGACAACAAAGCATCTCTTTCCTTTGATATTTTATACTGAAAGAGCCGGTCAATTATTTTATATCTCCTTAGTTTCTTTCAGAGCAAGGCCCTCAGGTCAATGATGAAGAATATTTCTAGGGTTCTTGGTTATTTCTTCTTGTCGAGAAGCTTGTGCCTTGTAGCAATCTATCACGGTGTGCTTGTCAAGAAAGATGACAGAAGGAGGATGAAAGCAGATGAATATCTCTGGGAATTCTATGTACAATGCTCGATAGTCAACTTCTTTTCACGATTAAAAGATTAAAGAATTAATTTTTATTATTAATAATTTTTTACTCTTTAAGTAGAAAAATTAAGAATTGTTTTAGATTAATTTCTTATTTATTCATAATTTATTTAAATTATATTAAAGAAAAAAGTTTTCCAACGCAAAGCATAACAACACACCCTTCCATTTATTTTTTTTTCTTATTTTGTTCCTTTAATTTAGTTTTCAATTATATATATTTTTTAATTAGTTTAACTATTTTTAAATAGTAATTAATCTTTTGGATGATTTTTAAAATTTTATAATACCTTAAAGGAATTATTTTAATTTTTGTCTTTATTAATTTTTTTTATAAATAAGTTATATTTGATGAAAATAAAATATACTTAGTAACCATCATAAACCTTTAAGATACATAAAAAAAAAAAACTAATAAGAAAAAAATATACTTAGTACTAGACCAATAACCTAATAGCCATGCACTAACGCACACAGTGCAAATTCAAATATAACAAAACTTGCAGCTAAACATACACTGTGCAAATCAGTGTAACAATCCATGCAACGCACACTGTGCAGCAGCTGTAACAACCAAGTTTACAATTCTCTTAACAAATCCATGAACCTAACTCAAAACAATTTCCTTCATTGTTGCTCACTAATATGTTATTACTGAAAAGAGTAAAATTTCTGATCACTCTATTTCTGAGATGGCTGCCAACTCTTGGTGAAGGCCTCTCGCTGGCATGTGGCCTGCACTTGTTCTCTTAGGGACAGATGAGCTAAAAGGATCAGGAGGCTTTGATAAGTTTTCTCCTTCCCCTTCAAGCATTTGGACAACAGTTTTCATGGAAGGACGCTCTGCTGGGTTCCACTGAATGCACCATAGCCCCACAATTGCTAGTTTCTTCGCAATTCTAGCATCTTCTTCTCCATCGATATGAAACCGCAGGTCTTCTTCCTTTTCTAAGAGATTATAAATCCATTCCGGGAAGTATATCTGGTCGCCATTTTCTGCTGTATCATCGACGTTCTTCCTTCCTCCAACCATTTCCAACACCAACATCCCAAAGCTGTAAACGTCTGATTTATAGGAAACATTCCCGAAGTTCCTCGAGAACACTTCTGGGGCAATGTAGCCAACAGTCCCCCTAGCAGTCGTCATGGAAATAGCACTTTTATCCTTGGAACACAACTTAGCCATCCCAAAATCGGCGATTTTGGGATTGAATTCATTGTCAAGCAGGATATTCTGTGGTTTGATATCAAAATGGAGGATTCTTTGATCACACCCCTGGTGAAGATATTCAATCCCCTTGGCTATGCCTAGAGCAACACGATTCAACCTTTCCCAGCCAAGGAAATGGTTCCTTGAGTCTGCTGAGGATATGAACTTCTGTAAAGAATCATTAGGCAAGTACTCATAAACTAGAGCTCGTCTAAATCCATCAGCACAGAAGGCGATCAAGCGAACAACATTGACATGGTGGATCCTTGCCATTGTTCCCACTTCATTGATGAATTCCTCCCCTTTTCCTATGGAATTATTGAGGAGCTTCACAGCTACAGCAATTTCATTGGTTAGCTTTCCTTTGAACACGGTTCCATAAGCTCCTTGGCCCAATTCATCACTGAATTGATTTGTGATCCTCTTGAGATCAGCATAGGAGTACCTCGTGGGATTCAGTGATCTGTAATTATCCAAAAACATTTCAACCCTGGCTTGATATTCTCTTTGTGTTTTATCGTTGCTACAGGTGCGGTAGAGTGCAGTAATCGCTATTGCAAAAAGGAAGAATCCTAAAATCACACCTGCATATCAACATTCTGAGTCAGGAAACTCTTTTTTTTTTTTGGGAAGTAATGTATTGAACCAAGTGTAAAATTGAGATGGAGATTTGAGCAGACTACAAACCAGTAATCAGTAGCTTTCGCCGCACATCTGTAAAGGATTGAACACTTTTTAGCTTCTCCCTTTTAGGCAATTGGTAAAATCATGAAAGCAACAAAAACGAAAAGAGTTTCTAGTGGTTTTTTATCTACATATTCAAATGCCAATTCTTAATTTGAAAAAAGGAAGAAAGATAGAAATGCATACCTTTAGTGTGCGGAAGATTGCTGTAGCATTCAGTTTCAGAAGATCCACAAGTTGGATTGGACCAAGATATAGTAAGAACATAATTTTCTTCCTGCATCAAACTATATGGAATTCCATAAATGTTGTACATCTTAGTACAAGATAACAGAACAGAGTTACTGATGGAAATACTTGATCTAAAGAAATGAACTTCATGGTTAAAAGTACTCAGACACGGGATTTTATCCATGTACAGAGACCTTCTCTCATTAGAAAGTGAACAGTTGAACAAGGTCCAATCATGCGGCCTATCGTTCTTAATTTGGAAGTGAGAAGCCCCGAAACTGAAGTTTAAACGTTGCCTTAGAAAGCAACCTTGAGGACCCCTTGCATAAATAAGTTGATATCTATAGTCAATTCTTTCGATGTGGACACTCAATCCAGTTGGCAGCCTCAGCACTGTGCTGTTGTCATCTGAGCAGGATAGATCAAACCCAGGATAACCACAGTGGTCTGGTTGTTTGTCCTTGATCCGGAAAGGAAATCGGATGTCAGGGCCACGGTTTCCACATGATCCTGTACATTTCAAGCTTGCTCCATGGCCTGTAAGGAAGACAATGAAAAAGTAGGACAAACACGTAACCATTTCTGATGAATAATTCATCATCTCCACACTCCTCTTAAGACTTTATCTGCATGTGCTGATATAGTTTTGGCCTTTCAGAAAACTCATATAGTCCTTAGATGTGTGAGTCCTTTACACTGTAGTACACGCATCCTTGCATCCCTCCCTTCGACATTAAAAAAAAATATTCAAAAAGACTGTCTGGTTCAGGTAATTTTGGTCGGTTTTCATGATTAATTTGATCATCCCTAATGATAGCAATAATCTCTCTATCTACATAGTATTCACATTCAATGTGGTAACATGTTGGAAACCTAGAATTAGCAGAAAACTATATTCTATCAAGTGAATTTTAATTACATGGTCGCACTCTTAACGCTTATTCCTGAAGGACGGATGCGAGATTCTCAACAAGAAATAACTAAGAAGCGTATAACTCTTTGTCGTTGACTCGAGGGTGGTTGAGGGGAAAAGTCTTGCTATGTGAAACTTCGAGTGACGGACCAAAGTTTCAATCAATGACCTAAGGGCCTGTCAGAAGGAAACGAAAATAATGGGGCTTTGACAAATTCTTTAACCTTTCAATAAGTTGGGAAGGGAGGAAAGGAAAGTAAAAGGTTCTCCGTCTTGTTGTCTTGCTGCATGGCTTTTCTTTTTCAGCTATCAGTATTTAAGTACTGATTTAAGTTCTTTTTCAAACACGCTATCAGTATTTTAAGTACAGTTAGACTTCCAAACTTGAATATTTCTGTCATTAGACAAGAGGTTACAATTGAATTGTCACTGTCTTTATCTTGGAATATCTCGTGGATTTGGTCTTTGATGAGATGCTCCAACAAAAAACATCAAGCTCGCTGGATTTCGTTGTTTGTGGTATTGTCACTTCAGCCTTCCCCATGTTTAGAGGAATGAACGTCCTTCTTGCTTGCTACATAGCTTTTCTTTTACAGCTATTAGTCTTCCAAACTTGCCATTCTAGCAACATCACTGCTCATTGTGCTGCTTCTTCGTGCGGCAATATCCGAAACATAAGCTACCCTTTCAGACTAGACACTGATCCACAAAGCTGCGGAAACTATAATTATACTCTGATTTGCGAGAACAATATTTCTACAGTATTATATTTGTATTCAGGTAAATACTACGTGCAGGCAATCGACTACGGTAACTTCACAATCCGAGTGGTAGATGCTGGTGTACAAGATAATTGCTGCTCCATCCCTCGTTATTCTTTGGCATTTGATAACTTCAGTGACGGAGATCCATACACATGGTATAAATACAAGCAGATGCCGCCAGGAGTGAGTGAACGTTCCGTTTACTATCGGGGGTACTATTGGGGGGACCGGTTACCTCCTAAACTGTCACTGCCTATGGATTTCATGAGCTGTGAAAATACGGTGAATTCTCCTCTTTATGTGGACACGGCTCTCCACGTCCTTAACTATGGATCAGGAAATTATTCCAACTCTTCTCTTGTGACTCTTTCGAATTATGTGACTCTTGGGGGCATGAATGCCTCGGATTTGATGGAACTGTGCAGCATAGAGAAAATATTTTTGCTTCCAAAGAAGAACTACACAGACAAGTCCTTTGAAGAAATACACAGTGACCTGGCATATGGGTTTGAGCTTTCATGGTACAACATCTACTGTGAAAATTGCACAAGGGGTTGCTACATCGACAGTGCAGACCGTCGTCGATGCCTTGACAGCTGTATGTAACACTTGATGATTAAATTGCTTCAGATTTGATTCATAAGACTATAAATAACTTGTGATTTGAGGTGCTTTCATATATTTTCTCTGGCTTACTTTTCAATTTTCATTTTTTTTGGGTATTAGCACAATATTGCACTGTCCCCAGATGTTCATGTACAAATTCTGTGCATCCATTACCTGTGAATTCTACTATAGTGGACTGATCATGAGATTCATTCATGTTAATATTGTAAAATATTCTGACTATTTTGTGGTTTAAGGTAGTTGGACAGATTCATTGGTCTTTCGCAATTTTAACTTGACCATGGATATACATTAATTAGTTCAAGTCACATTATTAAATGTGTGTGATATTTTCTATTTTCTTTTGCATTTACTGTTGCGTATACCATTAGAACTCGTTTTTTAACCTAAATTCTCGACAGATCCATTACATGAAAGCTACTGGCAAATTATACTCTACATAGTGACAGGTGCGAGTTCTCTTTAATTTCTGCATCTCACCATGTTTGTGTATTCTTAAGTGTTTCTTCAAACGACGTTTGTGAAATAAGGATTGTTGTTTCTTGAATAGTAATTGTAATTTTGTTCACCATTTTCTACAGCTCCCCAACTCTATATAATGATATCCGTTTTATTTGGTAAGAGATTCCATCATTTCTTTAGTTTCGCAACAAATTTCTAGTGGAAGCAACAAATAAGATCACAAAACTTGATTGTTTTCTGGAAATTTCCTCCACAGCACTACTTCATGGGCTAAAAGTTGTTTGTGGGACTCCATGTGTGATTGTATTTTTGATCTACAAATGGCGAAGGAGACATTTATCAGTATACGATACAGTTGAACAATTCCTACAGGGTCAGAATAACTTGATGCCAGTAAGGTATTCCTACTCAGATATCAGGAAGATTACTAGAGGTTTCAAGGACAAATTGGGTGAAGGAGGCTTTGGTACAGTTTACAAAGGAAAGCTTCGCAGTGGGCGTTTTGCAGCAGTAAAATTGTTGGGAAAATCGAAAGCTAATGGACAGGATTTCATAAATGAAGTTGCTACCATAGGAAGGATTCACCATACTAATGTGGTGCGGCTAATCGGTTTTTGCGCCGAAGGATCAAAGCGTGCTCTTGTATATGATTTCATGCCTAATGGATCTCTTGATAGACACTTGTTTTCTCGAGAAGGATCAATCTCTTTAAGCTGGCAAAAACTGCATCAGATTTCCCTTGGAGTGGCTCGTGGTATCGACTATCTTCATTTAGGCTGTGACATGCAAATACTTCATTTTGATATCAAGCCTCACAACATTCTTCTCGATGAAAATTTCACTCCAAAAGTTTCTGACTTTGGGCTCGCTAGGTTGTACCCAACAAATGGCAGCATCACGTCTCTTACTGCAGCAAGGGGCACCATAGGATACATGGCTCCTGAACTGTTCTACAAAAACATTGGACGCGTCTCATATAAAGCTGATGTTTATAGCTTTGGAATGCTGCTATTGGAAATGGCAGGTAAAAGGAAGAATGTAAACGCTTTGGCAGAAAATTCAAGTCAAATCTACTGGCCATATTGGGTTCATGACCAAGTATCTGATGGAAAGGCCATAGAAATCGGAGACGATGCCACTGAGGAAGAAAGTAAGATCGTGAAGAAGATGATTATGGTTGGATTGTGGTGTATACAAATGAAACCAATGGATCGGCCTACAATGAAGAATGTTGTGGAGATGCTTGAAGGAGATTTGGAAAACTTGCAATTGCCTCCTAAGCCTGTCTTAAATCTAGATGAGACGCCAACAAACATTGAAGGAGAGTCATCATCGTTGTCAGGTGAGTCTACCGAATCAACCAGTTTGGTTGAAAATGCGTACTGAGTGATATGATGTGGAATGCTCTGCTTGCTTACATGCAGGGAATAATTGCGCTTCCGGACTTGTTTATGATGATAAACATTATGATAATTTGCAATACTTTTATCTGATTTGTGTTTACCTAATTTAGAGTTCAAGCTGCGGCTTGTTTCTTCGGTGTGGTCTATATAATCATCATACAAAGATGTTCTGTATTGTGTTTAACTATCAGATTTCCACTCTCTTTGGCAATCATAGCAGTTATCGAGGATGCCACATCCTCCATGATAACTGTTACATGTTCTACATATTAATTATCGTATTTGTCTCCAGCAGAGTAATATTTTGGCTACAAATTAACGAGAGACTATCACAGGGATTTGCTCTCATAGGGATTCTGAACACAGGGGCTTAATTTCATTTTCTTCCACCAACAATGCTTTCTTGTCGATGTTCAGCCCCATGATAATTGATCTATTTTGTATAAATACGATAATTACCATATCACATTACCATATCTTGCATAAGCCACGAGGAACCAATCACAACAAAACAGGATTGGAAACCATGACCATAATGGGTGCTGTGAAATGAATATTGAAACAGATGGTGAATTTGACTCAGAAATCTTCTCTTTCTCCAAAAAAAAATACACCCGAAAAGTAGAGAGGAGAAAATGAAGCTTGCTTACCGGTCATGGCATTTCACCAGAGAGCACTGCTTCTAGCTGTGAAATGCATCTTCTTGTGGGTAAGAGGCAAGGCCTTCAAAAATGCTCAATTGTGTTCAACAAACTTTCAGGATCTACTTCAATTTTCTTAAGAGAATGGGAAATAGTGATCGGGATCCTCGTTAGCTGCGGGCAATCACCCATAGTAATTTTCTTCGAGAGAATTGCATAGAAGTCCTCCAGAATAAATGCTTTTCAAATTTGGTAATTTCTTCAGTATCAAAACCCTCAATGTTTTATCAAAACTACCAGAAAGAGAGAGAAGCTCCTTTTATGTACCAAAACTTCACAACTTCCCATTATCTCCTGCATGTCGTAACAATCTTCGACTACAATCACTTCCAATCCGAGTCTAGACAACAACCAAGGAGGGAGCAGCACCTTCATCCTATGACATTTCATCCTTGTAGCTTTAGTATCTTTAGCCAATTTCTTCTCACAAAATTTGCACTTCAATAAACCATCATCCATTTTCTCAAAATAACGTCGAAATGGATCGCTTCCTCCAACCATTTTTTCTTCTGTCCCTACCTACAGACATAACAAAGAACTTTCAGAATATTGAATTAAAATGGAACTTAAACTAATTGAAAAAAAGAAGCAGCTAAGTTTAACATTAAAAAAAAAATTGATTACAAGTGTTTCACTGTCTAAACCGAAGTCAAGTTAAACCACTTCAAAGATCAAAGTGTTCTTTTCTTTTCACTTTCCCAATAATTCTACAACTGGTCATATCAGTAATTTAATAACCAGTGTGTTTCCTTTTGCTTAGAAGAATCAAACTACATAAGTTGGAAAAGAAATGGTATGAAAAAAGAGCTAAAATTAATCAAACTTAATTACCCGAGCAGCAGAAGCAGCAAGATGTTATCCAATGATTTGATTAAATCAGAAGAAAGAAGATGGACGAGGAAGAGTAAGTGTGTTGGAGACGAGTGATAGAGCTTCGGCTTGTGTGGTTGTGGATAAGGATAGATTCAGACAGTCAGAGAAGCAGATGACAGTGAAAAAAAGTAAAATGGACTTCTGTCGTTCATGGATATCATATGGGCATGTTGTTGGTCTTCCAGGAAGCGGATCTGGCGAGGGGTGCTATAGTGAAGGCGTGGGGGTAGGCGGTGGCTGATGATAGTCTCCTCGTGTGGTGGACAGCACGCCAACTTTGCAAACGATGAGAAAGAGCACGATCCACCGCAAAACAGTAGAAGAGAAAGCAGTAGGCCGAGAGAAGAAAAGGGAGCAGGAGCAGAGTTGACCGAGAGAGAAGTAGAGCTGACCTAGAGAGCGGTATCTTCACAAATGGAGGGGTTAGTGTTTTCCGTAGTTGGTAGAAAAAAGAGACAGAGGATGAGAGACAATTGGGAGGGAAACTACCCGTTTGTTTGCTGGTTTTGGATAGTGGTTTTTTTTTTTAAAAAAGTTAATTTATATATAAATCAGTTGTTTCTCTCCTTTCCATTGCATCATTGGCTTCTACCCCTGCAAATTTAGGTACTTTTTTTATATTAAAAAAAAAAAAAACATTGCTTTTTGCTAAAAACAACCAGGTTAGTGACAGTTTATGCATATATTGATAAATGTTTTGCAGAGGAAACACAAGCACCCTGCTTTGCATTCAGCTGGTTAAACAACAACAACGCGTTCCAAGCAGAAGATGCTCATATATTGATACATGTTTTGCAGAGGAAACACAAGCACCCCACTTTGCATTCAGCTGGTTAAACAACAACAACGCGTTCCAAGCAGAAGATGCTTCAACTATGAAGATCAAGATACCAGGAGAGGCTGAGCACTGGAGTAAAGGAAATGCTTATAGCCCTAACATAACAGTGAATGGCAAGATGGGGAAGAAGTCTTGTTTGCTGTCTGTCTGGTGTTTTGCTTGATGTTACAGGTAGGTGGAGAATTCTTTTTACTGCTGCATTTTTTTGTTGATTTTTTGTGTTCATTGATGTTTTGGAATGGTAAAGGTGAATCTATCTCCAATGTATCTATGCTAAGAAATTAGAATGAGAATCCCAAGCGGTTAGGCTAGTGGTTGAAGGTTCTCTTGATTTGTGTGCATTATAAAATGTTCGCCCTTGCTTTGAAAATGGAAATCATATTCTTTTAAAAACACTTAATATTTTTTTATTTAAAATAATTTTTTTATATATTTTTTCAAATTATTTTAATACCAAAAATAATTTTTAAAAAATAAAATAAAATATATATTAATATATTTCTAAACAAAAAATATTTCAAGCTATTACAACTATTATGGTCTTATCCGTACCTTTAAAACCTTAAAAAAATATTGAAAACTGTGCGTATAATATATGTTTAATAAAAAAATTTAATTATTTTTTATATTTTTAAATTTTAATATTAATAATAAATTTTTTAAAATAAAAAATTATTTTAATACACTTTTAAATAAAAAATATTTAAAAAAAATAAAAAATACTCCGAATATATTTCGTTTGCATGTGCTTATTTAACCAAAACTTGTGGACTTTTCGTTTGCATGTGCTTGGAGGCATGGCCAGGCCAAATGCTCCGAATAGTTCCATTTTCAAACTAAAAGGAGTGGTTAAGAATAAGATGGATAGGCTGGGGATCGAATAAAAAGATAAAAAAAAAAGCTAAACTGAGCTTAATCTATTTTCTCAGCATTTTATAACAAAATTTCTATTGAACACCTATTAAAAAAACTAATTCACTAATACACATCTTATTTTTATTCTTCTTTTTTTTTTCTTTCTTTCTTTCTTTCTTTTGCTAAAAATGTGACTATCAAATCATTATCTCTCATTTAAATCTTTTATAATAACTTTCTTCTTCTTTTTTCTCAATATCCTAATATTGAAATATGAAACAAAATAAAGTTTAGTAATGAAATATTAATCTCTAAAATAATAAGAATTAAATAACAAAAGATTTGAAAACTTAAAGACTAAACTAAAATTTTTCACACCAAAATCTGAATAAGGTAGAAAAAAAAAATTAAAAAGTTATATTTCAACTTGAGTTTACATGACAATGTTGAATAATAAAAAAATAAAAAATATATATAAAAAAGATATCAATTTGCATTGACTTTTTAAATTTGTGCCTTGGTTATTAAGTTGAAAGTAATATATCTATAAAAACTATAAAATTTAATTATCAAATGATAATATTAAAAAAATTAATTATACAAAAAGAATCCATAAAAAAAATATAGAAATTAAAATAATGAAGATCAAAATTAAAATAAAAAAATATTTTTGATTGTATGGTGAAATTAAAAAGAAAAATTAATCTAACAAAAGGGCAAAACAAAACAATAAAAAAAATGAAAATTAAAAGTGAAATAAAAAATAAAATAGTTTTTTTTATTGAATGATGAAATTAAAAATAAAAATAAAAATAAAATAATATAAAATAATCAAAAAATAAATATTAAATTAGAAAAATAACATATAACAAATTGAAGTTGAAGGAAAATTAAGAAAAATTCAAAATTTTATAAAATGATAAAAATTAAAATTAAAAAAAATTAAATTTAACATATCAATTAATCAAAGTATAATTGTGAAACTTTACATCATCAACATAATTTTTAAAGTAAAGAAAGAGAAAAGGCTTATCCACCATTTATATTACTTTATATTTTTTTTTTGTTTTAAATGATATTTTAATACAAAATGATTTATTTATTTTTAATCAATTTAATAATAATTAATAAATTTTAAAAATAAAAACACCAATATTGTCCTATAGTCAGTTCAATAAAAAAAATTTTGTGAGAATGATAAAACCTTTGTTAAATTATTCCCGTAAACAACGCAAATGATTCTGCCCATATAATATAACTTTAGAGGATGAAATTGAAAAAATTAAAAGTCCAATGACTAAAATTAAAAAAATGAACTGCTCATATGTACAATCAAATCCACGACGAAAAGCTGGTGTCAATTTGAGTTTCGCTATAAAATGAATCAGCACTTGGGCTCTGCACTTTTCGGGAAAGCTGAGTAACCGTCATCCAATTGTAAGCTACACGTCGTCTGTGATTGTCAATTTTGTATTCAGACATTCTGTGAACAGTCAGTCAAAGTGAAATACAAGAAAACAAATCCCTCTCTCCTCTCCCCACTCTCTAAACTCTCCTTTTAGGTAGCCATGACTGCAGCCACCAAGAAACACCTACCCTCCTCCTCTAAGCCACCCAAGAACCACCACTCTACCCACAACACCACCACCACAACAACCCCACAACCTAACATCACTCAAAACGCTAACCCAACCACTAATCCATCACCACTATCTCCCACCCTCAAAGACCAGGTTTTGTCACGCGCCACCCACATCACGCGCCAAGAACTCCTCAAAAGAAGGTCTTACAAGCTAAAACAACTCTCAAAATGCTTCAAAGATCATTACTGGGCATTAATGGAAGAACTCAAGATTCAGTACAGAGAGTACTATTGGGAATATGGTGTCAGCCCTTTTCAAGAAGACCATCAAAACACCCTTCAAAAACAAGAAAAGCAGAAACAGTGTGGTGGGATTGGCGTTCTAGAGAGGGAGAATGAAGAGAGTGGGGCTAATATTGAAGTTATTGGTGAAAATAACACTAATGTTAGTGATTTGAAGAGTAATCATAGGTGTCTGTTTGTTGGGTGTAAGTTAAAGGCTATGGCTTTGACAAGTTTTTGTCATCTTCATATACTTTCTGATGCAAAGCAGAAGCTTTACAAGCCTTGTGGTTATGTTATCAAAAGGTTTCATCTTGCTTTACCTTTTTCTTTGATTTTTGGATTATAAAGCTTATTTCTTTGATGGGTATTTTTTTTTTTTTGTGTGTGTGGTTTTGATTATTTGGTTTCTGTAAGATTGTTTTGGTGGTGTTAAATTTTAAATTTCTAGATGGGTTTTGGGATGTCTTGTTTATGCTTGGATGCTTGGGATTGCCATTTTTTTTAGTGGTTGCATTATTGTGCAAGATTAGTTTGTCATGGACCAATGGAGGAAGTTTGGAGTAGGTAAATTGAATGAGCTTGATTAAGATTGTGTAGGAATTGGCTTATATATACTTGGTATAAGGGATTTGGAAGAAAAGTGTCATGAATCATGAAGGGTTTGTAAATTCATAGCATTTAATTACCTGAGAATTGCTTGTGACCGAGATATTTTGGGCTTCAAAATGATTAATGCTGCTTGATTTTAAGCTGGGATTTTAATCCTTAATTATGTACAGATTTTGCTGATGTGTGAAAACGTGATGTGAAGTATCTGTTTGTCTTCTTGCTTCGAGCAACGATTATGGAACTATTTGAAATACTAGAAAGATGTGATTTTTTCATGCTAGATTGGTATCTCTTTTTTTTCCTTTTTTTTTTTTTAACATTAGTTCTGGATTTAATGGGACCAGACTTACAAGTATAAAACTTTGTTTCAGGGTATACATCATGCTTTGACCTTACAAGTTGAAAATAGCCTTCAGATGCCATCATGGTAGATAACAAGGCACAGCAATACCTTAGCAATAAGCTAAACAAAATAATAATAATAATAATAATAATAATAATAATAATAATAATAATAATGAGTAGGGGAGAGTTATCTCTATTCTTAAACAAATTGTGTGATGATATTTGATGGTCCAACTAGTGGCTAAATTTGATTTGATAACCGGGGTTAGAAAGAACTCTAGTAGTGCCATAGAAGTAATTTGGATTCTTGCATGAATAACCTTGTTTGCACTTTCACCAAGAAATCATGTTTATACTTGGATGTTATACCAAACGATTTAACTGTGTTGGGTGAAGTTGTGACTTTTGCCTATCTTTTTTGAAGTATATTTTCTTGTTTTCTGTGATTACTGCTGTGCATGATGTCACTGTCTTGCTGCAAGGTCCGTGGAGCATTGACATCATGGCTACAGCTTGTAATAGATTGATGGCATTA